AAACAAGGATTAATAATTTTTTTTAAAAAAAGCGACGAACGAGTAACGGGAAGAAGGGCTTTATGTTTAAGTAGTTCGAACGAAAATTGAAAATCATGCGTTACATGTGCTCAGAGATATTTTGTAGGCCAAACACCATCCTCGGCTCCGGACTTCAACACACGTAGCGAAGCGTCAATATATCTAATTAGGGTCGCGCCAATCCCAGTCCAAGCGGCGCACCGCACAATTGTAAAATGTCGGCAAAAAATCGGGAATTTTTTTACCTTCATTTTGAATTTGTTTTTAACGAGAAATGTTTACTCTTTTGTTTTCAAATATAGAAACCCTCTTTTAGTGTTAAATTACGGATCGAAAAAATAAATACACTAATACATAAGTCTATGTAATACAATTTTTGGGGGATTTCATCAACTTCGTACTATTTAATATCCGTTATTAAATGAAGCTAAACAAAATCTATGTAACAAAATTCATAACATTAAAACACAGAGGCGGCAAGAAACAATTTTCACAAAGGCGCAAGTTATCTTCTCATGGGCCTGTATCTAATAGAAATTGTTCAGAAAAAAACACTTTGTCATGAAATACGTTGATGATCTCAATGATGTTTTATGTTGATCACGGAAGCGAGAGCCCAACCTTCCCGTTGAAAATGCGTAGCGAGGCGTCACTGTCCCTTTTAGGTTTGAATTTAAAAATTCGATGCCATTCTGCTCGCGCTGGTGCATCATGGGTGAAGTCGTTCACCATTGAAGTGAGTCGATTCTGTCTCGTTCGTTACGATAAGATAAAAGACTCCCGAACACTACGTACTACAGGAATCACTTCATTCCCTTCACAATTAAGGAAAAATTCCCTGTCAACAAAACAGAAACTTGAAAGTCATGTAATTTTATCACCAAACAAGAAAATAATTAGGAATGTTGAAGTTATGGAGAGTAATATTAGGAAGTGATAAATATATAATATTAATGAGGGAAGTAGAACCATATCTTAGAGAAGAATTGACGAGGTTCCCGGAATTACGTTCTCAAAAACGCTTAATGGAATGGCAACTGAGTAAAAGAAGAAATGCGAAAGGCACAGGCCAGAGTTTTTGAGCTAAGTCAAAATAGTAGAAAAATGAAAATTTGAAAATGAAGACCGGAGTAGAATATTAGGTGCCGAAAAAAAGAAATATCAATCCAGAAAATGACAATGAGAGATAAGCAGAAGAAGAAAAATTTAAGACAACAGTAGATCAGGAGGCGAATAGGCGAATAATAGTCAATTGTGTATGTTTGGGAACATGTATCTACAAATTTATCAACGCATATGGACACAACGTCATCGTTATGAAGAAATGTTTGTGACTTTTCGCACAAAACGTTCCCTTAAGTCTTTTTTTTATTCGTATACCAAATATCACGTAACCCTTTCCACCAATTTAGATTTTTTGGTCTCCTAGGCAACGTACCTGGGAATTTACTCTCAAAATTATGAAATGTCAGGTCAGATATGGCACAGAGCATAAGGGTCGAATGAGGAGGAAATAAACAGACAGTCGTTTTGTGCACGGTCAATTCAAACGTGCGACATTCAAGCCAATGTACCAGAGCCGTAAAATACAGCAACAGTTATGCAACGGAGAGCCGCATTTCGTAACCAACCACGTTCATAGGATCATTTGAATAGTGTACTGAATAGGGCCGCTTTAGTGAGACCAAAGGCAGGAGTAACTGGACCTAATGTGGTAAACCGCTATAAAACTGCATTAACCACATGACATTCCATGTGGAAGCAAATTCTAAACAGAGATTTACATTTGTATTTCTGCATGCTCAATTATTGTGACTAATTATAGACATAGACAATCTTTGGTTGGAAAGTTTGATAAAAAGAAGCGAACTGAATTGATGCTCATAATATTTTGTGAGAAGGGGGGTTATTTCGAAGACAGGAAGTTTTATATAAATCCTTTTACAATGCAAAGTATTTGCTACTATACAAAAGCAAACATTTCTGGTTACTAGAATTGGTCAACAACGGTTGTTGCTATCATTTATTCTTAATTTAACAAATATTAGAGAAGGAATGGGAGTAAGAATTCTGAAGCTCAGATTCCCGTTTGTCCTGTCGATTATCCGGTCTCAGAAAAGGTAACAAATGTCATGTAGAGATAATACAGGTTCAGTAAGACTGATGAGGCCTAAACTTAGGCTCTACATTCTTCTTTCTTTCAAGAATTGTTGACCATTGCACTTCAGCATAATCCCTTCCTATGTCTGCCTACATATCTTTTTTGTATACGAGCATTATAAAGCACATTTTCGTTGCAGGAAATCGTTCATATAATAGCATCATATGGCACAGCTCTTTGCGTATTTGCAGTTTATGGCACGAGTAATTGCGTCATCGCGCTGCCAGCCAATTGCAATGAGCGAATTGTGGAAGGCGGAAGTGACGGTAAGCCGCGCAGCTAAACGAATCGCAGTGAGCGAATCGTGGAGTTCTGGCGATTAACCGAACAGCGAACACCACATTTTCGCACAGATGTCTAATACCCGTGACATCATAATAAAGTTACGATAATTTAACTTTCCTTCAGATATACATTTATGATACTATGATTAAAACAAATCACGTATACAGCTCGTTTAAAATGTTTGCCTGCTTGTATTCCTACAAAATTAAAAACACTCTCCTTACGTCATTCGCTTTCAAAAAAATGTAGGTACTTTTGTAATAAAGGAGAGATTTTAAATTAGCTGCATAATATACTATATCTATTGACCGAAGCGCCATCACTAATCCTGGTGTTGCCTCTTCATTCATTTCTTCAATATTGGGCCTCCATGTTTCACTTCCATGCAGGAGAGTTGGAATAACCATTGTCAATTTTATTGTGTTCATTCATTAAAATTTCATTCTTTGCCTTTCCTTATTATCTTCTCATGCGTAGTATTCTACACGGACACCTCGACTGTGCCAGAAATATTTACAACCAATATATTAAAAACTAGACGTTCTGTCCATCATGGTATCGTTAATTACTATTTTTAATAGAGAAGTGTGTTTACCATAATGGTCCATAACATTTGTTTCCTTTTTAGGTATTCGGAGATTATAGTCACTCCCTTCAAGTATACATTGTGTTCATTTATTCTTCGTAATAAAGTTGTTAACAGTGGAAGATGAGTAATTCAGATAATGGAGAAAATGAAAAAAATATAATGGGTTAATCTTGTAATGAAAGATAAACAGATAAATCTCGAAAAAGCTCACTAAAAATAATTTCCACATGAAAACACAACTAATACCCAAATTTCACATTCGAACTATATTTAATCATTATGTTTCCTGAGTCTGGAAAAGCAAATATTGGACTAAATGGAATTGGAAAGCGTTGAAAAAATATTTTGAATGACATTTTTGATTGATATAGAGAAGAAATGAGAGAATCCAAGAAACAGGAGAACCTGTCGTGAATTTACTATATCCGTCAGAAATTCCAAAAGAGGCGACCGGAATATGAATTCGGTAATATAATATATAAGCCATAGATAGTGTTGCAACACGCAGGCCAGCTATTCATTATGATATCCTGCATCTGAGCCTTCTCTGAAGCCATTAAGAGGGTTGATCACTTGCAGAGTAAAATATAATGATGATCGGTCCCATGATTTTAGCCATTTAGCTGGGTTGACATATAAAATAATTGGAGAACCCAAAGGAAACCTGCGAACATATTTTGTCTATAATGAAGCTATCAGGAACCAAGAAATAGTGTCCAACTATTCCACTATTGAAATGGGTACGTAGTGACATTTAGAAATATATAGCAACTAAATAAATAGTACATAGTTTGAAGATAAATATGAATATATTGGATAAAACAAAACTTGTGCAGTAGAATCTCGATAATTTGACAAGAAAAATGGATTAAGATGCCAAATATGGTCAGAATAGAGATCTGAGGAAAATGAAGAAGAATTTAGAAGTCAAAAATTGAGAATTACCCTCTCAAAAACCCATTCAACTTTCCTCTCCTATGAATATTCCAATTTAAACTAAGTTAAACGTATCAATTCTTAGTTACAATAAATATTTTTTTAAATCTTCAGGTATTGAGTAATTTCTTGTACCTGACATTGACATTAGTGTATAATTAACCGCTGAAGACCTGAAGATTTCAAACAGTCATTAACAAAAGATTTCATTATTACAATACAATTGCAGGACCTGAACTTTATATAGAATAGTGAATGAGTTGATGAATATGTAATAAATATAATGGTAAGGTATAACTGACCTACATAAAGGCAGAGGAAACAAGAGCCTGAAAGAACCATCCTAAGAGTCTTTTAATCCAAATTTCACCATTTAGTCCAATTCTAACAGGAGAATATAATAGGCTGGCAAGATTTGTTTTTCATATCGGTAGAAAATAAATTACACTCGATAAATCCGAGATATTGACTGTGTATAAAGTGGCTTGCGGTATTATAATTCCAATTTAAACTAAGTTAAAGGTTTCAACCTTAACATTTAGTCACAATTAAGAATTTTTAAATCTTCAGGTATTGAGTAATTTCTCATACCTGACATTGACATTATTGTATAATTAACCCTTCAAGACCTCAAGATTTCAAACAATCAATAACAAAATATTTCATTATTATAATACAATTGCAGTATACTGAACTTTATGTAGAATAGTGAATGAGCTGATGAATATGCAATAAATAAATTGATAGGTATAACTGACCTACATAAAGGCAGAGGAAACAAGAGCCGAAAAGAATCCTCCTAAGAGTCCGTTAATTCAAATTTCACCATTTAATAAAATTCTAATATGAGAATATAATAGGCTGGCAAGATTGTTTTCATATCCGTAGGAAATAAATTACTCTCGACAACACCGTGATATTGACTGTATATAAAGTGGTTTGAGGTATTATGATTCCAATTTATACTAAGTTAAACTTTTCAACCCTAACATATAGTCACAACAATTTTTAAATCTTCAGGTATTGAGTAATTTCTCGTACCTGACATTGACATTAGTGTATAATTAATCCTGCAAGACCTAATCATTTCAAACAACAATTAACAAAATATTTCATTAATATAATACAATTGCAGTATATTGAACTTTATGTAGAATAGTGAATGTGCTGATGTATATGCAATAAATATAATGATAGGTATAACTGACCAAGATAAAAGGCAGAAGAAACAAGGAGAGCCTGAACGAACCCTCCTAAGAGTCTGTTAATCCAAATTTCACAAGAATAACCTTGATTTGAACTTTGCTAATGGTGGTACGAACTAAATGTAATAGAAATGGAAGGCAAATGTGACCATCGGAGAAGAACTCCAGACTCGTTCAAGGATTGGCTTAACCTGTCGTCTTCGTTTCTTTAGGTACGTTTTGAGAATGGAAGGATGTAACCCGCAAACGACCTAAGCAACAGCGATTTCAAAGCAGATAACTAGAACGGAGAATATTTCGTATACAGGTAGAGCAAGTAAAGAATATCATTGTTTTTTCTTCCAACATCATACTGCGGAAAATATTAGACCGTTAGGGAGTTAAGAATACTGGAGCTTGTGAAGAGTAAAGATGTGAGATCATGATGTTCAGAAAAGAATACATCAACTGCTGGTTGTGATCACTCAGAGTTCAAATTCAATTCTGGGATGCATTATAGCACTGCGTGGCGAGACTCATGCAATTAGACCAGTTCTTTCACCTGACCATGCAAATTTCGTGACACCATCTAGCAGAGAAATAAAGTACCACTTGGGAGACAAAAAACGATTTTATTATAGTTCAGGAGCTTCATTTAGGCTTGAGGGACATAAATTGACTTCGCCGCATAACGTCCAACGAACGGAAAAGCATTAAAACGTGAGCGGTTTTGGGCTGCTTTTCATATTACGACGATATTTTCAAAAAACAAACAAACAAGGAATCATCTAACGGGGTATGTTTGTACGAAGCGTCTGGCAACTCAGCGGGTTGTCTGACAGCTACCCGACAGGACGCCCTTGACGGAAAAGGGAAATGAAAAGGATGGAAAACAAAAGGAAGATGAGAACGATGTCTCTGATGAGATAAAACGAAGAGATGAAAAGGATGAGGCGGAAAGGAAGGTATATTAGGAATAATAATGCAGCAACAGTTAAAGGAGACGCAGAGGCAACAGGAGACCCCGAGAAAACCTTCCGAAAACCCTCATAATCCACCACAAACTTCAAATGGAACGACCAGAATTGAAATCCCGATGCCAGTGGAACGCAAGAGATGTGACTACTATAAAACAAGTCTCCCCACAAAAAAGGGAGAGAAATAAACATTCTTAACAACTTTTTATAATTTTTTTCAGTTATGATTTAAACTAAGAATATCCCAAAGTGATGTTTATATATTCGTTTTAATTTTTAAATTATTTTCATTTGTTGCGTCTTCGCAAAAAGTTTCTTAGCCCTTCTTAGGCGTTCGGGTAAGTGGAGAAATCCTCCGTTAACGTGATTTGTCTCTCACGTCATGTCGCAGTCAGTCAATGCCTTTTATCCCTTCGGCCAGGGGCCTGGTGCCATTAGTAACCAGGATTCCCAGACGGCCACCCGCCCAGGAATCCGTGGTGTCTCAAATTGCGTAACTTCCTTCCCTTCACGAAGCGCAGTTAAGCAATTCGGCAATTTGGCTTTCTCAATTTAGAGAAAGACAGTATTCACTTAGCTGACCGAGAGGCGCCGCGACCTAGGCACAGGTGCAGACGTTTCGGTCACATTCCTCAGGGCGAAATGCTAGCTGAAGGTGAGAAATATGGCCGCCATAACACAAGTCGCTCTGAGGCAGATCGCAGAGGGGTAGCTGAAGCGTTGGCACCTGTGCCTATGATGCAGCATCTCCCGGACATCTAAGTACATACTGACTACTGCCGCGGAAGCCTACGCTCTCATTAGAGACAGATGGTTTAATTAGTATATTTAAGACAGGCTCTACTGCATAAACCTGATCAGCAGAAGCACTGTATCCCAAGACTACGAATAAGTCCCCGCCTCTGCCTGTCTGCTGGTGAGGTGTGTATGTGTGTGTGTGTGGGGGGGGGAGGGGTTGCACACCTGAGCGCGCTGCGCGTCCGCCCCCGTCGCCGCCCCCGCCGTCGCGCCGCCGGCGAACAGCGCAGTCGAGGGCGCGTAGGGCTGGGAGCCCGCCGCCCCCGCGCCGCCCGCCGACGCCCCCGCGGCCACGCCCCCTTGCTGCACCTCCACCACGAACACGCCGTTCTGGTGCGGCGACGCCGACGCGCTGAACTTGGTGGTGGTGGTCTTGGTACCGCCCGCCTCCAGCCGCACCTGCAACACCGCGCCACGCGCTTAGTCACGCTGCTCGCACGCCGCAGGTACCTGGAAGGCAAGCGGAGCTCCACGGCTCAAGTCAGAATGAAAACAACAACAACAACAACAACAACAATTCGATATTTCGATTATATTGATGTTTGAGTTACCTATTATTTTAGATGAAGGATTGAAGAAACTGGAGATATCATTAGTATTCCAGATTCAATACAATTCTAAATATAAAGGAATTCGATATTGTCCAGGTATCGAGAAAGTAAGTAAGTAAGTCCAGGTATCGAGAACGTCCAGGTATCGAGAACGTCCAGGTATCGAGAAAGTTCAGGTATCGAGAAAGTTCAGGTATCGAGAAAGTTCAGGTATCGAGAAAGTACAGGGATCGAGAAAGTCCAGATATTGATAAAGTCTAGATATCAAGGAATTTCAGTTATCGAGAAAAACGTGGTATAGGATAATTCGAAATATCATGGAATACAAAATATTGAGAAATTTGAAATAGCAAGGAAGATTAAATAGCAATGAAATTATAAATATCAGCAATTTGAATTAGCGAGGAATTTGGTATAGCATGGAAAATGTGAAGACAATTAAATCGATTTAGCAAAGAATATTATTTATCGAGGTTCCGATTATTAGGTTCTAGTTAAAATATGTTAATAGTGAGGTATACTCTCGCCTGATTTTCTTGGAAATATTCACTTAACCAAGGGGAATTTTTTAAACGTTTTAATGATTGGCGACAACTATAAGAGAAATATATTTCGATTAAGAATTATATTTACAAAATGTTAAAAATTTGCCATTTGAATTTACTTTACTTCAGTGAATTATTATTAACGGAGGGCGTTATTGAAATAAAGCCGCATCGCAGTACATTAATTTACTGTGGTTCGTTGGTCCAAGCCTTTAAAATAAACAATTGGAATGATGATGATAGCAATAATGACAGTACAGTTGAAAAAAAAATCAGCATTGCAAAGTAAATTTCAAATCAACGTATCTACATATAATTAACACTTCATAAGTCAATATCATAATATTTTGAGCAGTGCCAGGTTAACAAATACATCTCATTAAACTTAATACAAACTCATATTTAAATATATTACAAATGATTATATTCCAACTATTTTATTTGGGAGATATATGTTCTTTCTCGGGAGTATTGAGGTAAAAACATCGTGTGTAATCATTAAATCACGTTACCCATTGACCCCATTCAAAGAACATTATAATAAATGTAACCCCCTTTATTCTGCATACACAACAATATTGCAATAGCGTGAATACATCTCTGGTCTTCAGATAATATTTCCACGTTATCATGAAGGCAATTTTCGTGAAGAAATGCTATCTAGAATGTTTAGTAAAACCTGATATTATTTCAGTTTTATATTATTAACACAAACGCGAGAGTAATAACTGCAAGTTAGTTAAAAATACTGGTGGAAGCTTGAAAATATCCAGTTGTGACTAATATTTCTCGAGAAAAGTTTCTCTGTTTTATTTTTATCCAGAATATTCGTCTTCGTGATTAAGTGAACAGTGCTGCACTCTGTGTGTTTTCCTCCCAATTATTCGCGAGTTCAATGTACTTTCTAAATTTGCTTGGGCAAGTGCTTTCAGATGTTTCAGGTTTCGTGCAGGCAATGGAGACCCGTTGCCTACATCGAACTGGAGATCACTAACTCTGCGCGCCTGAAAGCTGATCCTGTATTTTCTTAATAGAGAAAAAGCCGTGCATTGCTCTTTGTCCTCCCTTAAAATGCTCGATCGAAAAACCGTTGCCCTTGCGTGTTCGTATAGCGTGCGACCAGGATGAGGGCGAAGTCGTCAGCGCGATCTGTTGATTAATGTGAGAACTGCTTCCAGTTGGCAACGCCCAACACAAATACTAATATTTTGTGATTATGGAATACGATGCCTCGAACGCGAGAATTAAAGACGATAAACGTAGCACACTTTATTATTTTATTTTTAACGAAAAAGTTAACAATGGAGATAGAAGATCCGTTCCAATAATGCTATTCTTGTCAGTAATTGGATCTTATACAAACTAAAATTGTGATACAGTGCATTTTAATTTTAAAGGTTTTTATTATTTTGGCTTCTACTGTAGGCCAATATGACCAAATATTGTTACGTCAATATTTTTCTATTACTGTAGATATATCGGTGATGAATCAATGAATAACTTGTTATTTCTCGAAAGTATTTAGGGATAAGAACATTCATATGTTTATTGCATGTCTGTTATAGCGTATCATATATTTTTATGATCGTTCACAATATAGATAAATAACTCACCATTGAATATAAATGTGACTTCACAGAAACTAGTTATTCAAAACATAATTTCGAGTGAAACACTAATACTATTTGTACTTAACTTCCTAGTGTTTTAACATGTTTATTGTGAATTTTCGTAATTTTAATACTGGTGTCGTACTATAATATTATTAATAAATGTTTTGTGATAATTCACACTTACGTTTAATGGTACGTATATTGATCTCTCATACTGAATATGTTTTAATACTGTTATCACATTTTTCACCATTTTACCGGGTGACCGGCAAACGAACATGCATTCTTGATGTATAAATAAAGACATAGAAACATTTGTTACTACAAGGTGTACAACTTTGCTTCCGCCGTTTTTCAATAGTTGGCTACAGTGGTAATAACGGTCGCCGTCGCGATAAACAATCGCAGACGTCAGGCCCATTAGCTGTACCTTCGGCAAACATAACCCCATTCAAATATTAGTGGATTTTGTGTGTGCAAACGTAACGTTGTTCGCCGTATTGAAAAAATGTAGTGTACAGCCGAATTCTCGTCATTTGGCGGGAGCTCTGCTTTTTTGTTTCAATATGAACAGAAAACTCCGGCTGAGTCTCAATCGAATGCTCTCCCAGTACTTATGGCTGAGGACTTATTAGTGACGAGAAACGTGTCGCGAGTGGTTTCAACGCTCAGGAATGGTGACTTTAACGGAAGACGCATAGTGGCGAAGAGTGGAAAGTTTGTTGAGATGGCAGAATATGTAGCGTAGGACAGTGCCCTGAGAAAGACTCGCAAAGCCCACCGCGGGTAGCAACAAGCGCGTCAAAACAACTCAAGAAAGAACTGACCTACCACATTCATGTGGAGACGGTGACACAGCAACCATGTCAAAACGTCTCAAAGCCATGGTATGAATTCAGAAAGAAGGACCACATGTCTCCGCGTCCATGAGTAAGAAGTTGTCACAACCGAGAGACATTGAAAGCGTTGGTGTTTCGCTGAACAGGTTCTGCCTTCAGAGGATCCAAAAACGAAGCGCGTTTCATGCATCGTGTTGTAAACCGGGCGACGAAAAATGGTTCATTACGATAACCCCCCTAAACGGCATAAAAAATCTTCACAATGGGCGTAATCCCTGCCCATGCTTCCACGTCGACGCCAAACCGAAATTTCATGGTCCAAGATCATGCTCCTGCATTTGAAACGTACTTTCCACAGCTCCTGGCGTCGGTTGTACCCATGAGCTTTTAAAACAAGTGAAACAATCACCAGGTGATCGATTTCGAAACGCAATAATGCCGTTTCAGCGAGCATTGAAAGACAAACGCCCGCAATATACAAAAAGCCCACGATAAGGTGATTCCTTCGCTCGCATTCCAAAATGCTAGGCCCCACCCGTGGCAAGAATGGTCAAACATACGTACGCGTGGAAACGTTAAATTGAACGTCTCTACCCCACCCGCCGTATTCTCAGGGACGTTGCTCCCTCTCGATTATTCACTTTTCCGATCCAATGGCCCATCGACCCTGTTTGAGCAAGCACTTTCCGATCTTTTGAAGATGTCCAAAATGGATTTGATCGTGCGGATCGCCTCCAAATATGCAAAACAATTTTTTGCCGACACGGCATTCGCACACTCCGGAAAGATTGCGAGCGAAAAAATTGTAGGCCAGGCGATGAACATTACTTTGAAAAATATCGTTAACCATTTGTTCAATAAATGTTCATATTTGGAGGAAAATAAACGGCGCAAAGCAAATTGTATATCTTACCATATACATCCAAAACTCTTTAATACCGTCTACTCGGAAAGAAACCTGTGTATAATGAAACGTCGGATATTGCAACAAAATCAAAGTTCCCAATCCACCACGAATATAAACCACTAATGTTTCAGCAACGCGTATAGTTGAACTCTCACATCACATGTATGACCCGTTCAGGGAACATAGCCTCAAAACGCGAATTCAATAGCGCAAGATTAGAATGTGATTTCGTATGCGACATCATTTCTAATAAAACTTACGTGGGAATTACCTCTAGAGAAAATTCTTGCAGATTATCTTGGTATTCATTTCATCCTGAAGACTTTCGCGGATTGGCGAGATAAAGCAAGGTAACATATCATCTCGGCCTAGGAAAAAAAAACACTAAAATGCTGTGAACGTGTTTCCAGAGAAAAAAAAAATTATTGACGAAAATAGATACAAAATCAAGACAAGTCCCTCAACCAGTGCAGCGTCATTCAAGGCTATTAAGTGTTGTAACACGATGCTTGAGAAATTCAACTGTAGAAATCAAAGTGGCCAGAAATAAAAAACTCTTGAAAGAAACCACCCAACATTATTAATAGAAAAAAATATGTACGTAGGGCAAACACTTAAAATACTACTTTAAAGGCATAAATTAAATATTTGGAATTCCTAGTGTTGATATTTTCACCTTACTCTGGGATTAATAAAATCAGTCAAGACCGGAAACCACATTTTATTAAAATATCGAATTAGTGAATCTCTGATTAAGAAACCAAAACATTATTTCTCCCCAATGGTTTCACAAGAATCACCGGATTTGAATTATTATTAAACGTAATTTCCTGACTCAGAAAATAGTAACTAGTTGCGTCAATTGTCAGGGTCTCACATTCCACAATAAAATGATCGTTAAAGCCAGGATTTATTTAAATCTCTTATTAACATCTTGGCCAATC